AAAACTAAAGTGTGTTCCGTCCGTCCGGGGAGAACGCGCTGTGGGCTGGAGGTGTTGGCAGCTGACAGCTGACGCACACGTAACGCACTAACGGGAACGCCGTGCTGCCGAACACCGTTGTCCCTGTGGTAACCGTCCTCGTCCACTTTGGTCTCGTGTGTGTGTTCGCCTGTCCGCGTTGCAAGCATGTAGTTCGCGCATCTTTCGTTTTCCCGGCCTTGTGAGTATTCAGATCCCAGTGCCTTAACCACGGAAGGCCCTAAATGTAAGGGAGACCGGACAAGGGGTTTATTCTGTAGTCTTTAGGTGGAATCGTGGGTGTCTTACTCCTCAGTTTACTGAGTGGATAACCCTAAACAGGCATTTTCCTGTGGTTCCCGTACCCCGAGAAAGACCGGCGCCCTTCTGAGGGCAGCTCTGTGGGCTCCCCAACCCCACTGCCTGCCTTGAGAGCGAGTGGACGTGCGTCAGAAATGGGGACATTGGATGGCTCAATATTGCGTGTCTGGAGTATCCCCTGAACAATAAAACATACTGTGTGCCTCGTCCTGCTTACCAAACTCACGGCAAGCGGACGAGACTTCTGCCCCCGGGAAAGGAACAAAACTTGAGCAAAGTGTCTGGAGAGGGCAGCGCCGATGCGCCGGGCGGGAGCTTTCTGTCCCGCCTGGCCTGGCGAGAGAGCACCCACTGTGTGTCCCGAGGCGCTGGGGAACCAGCGATGTGTCACCAGCGAGCCCGACCATGGTGGCTGTGGCTGAGTGTCGACCCATGAACCAGAGGTTGAGGTCTGATTCCCAGTCAGGCACATGCCCCAGTTGTGGGCTCGGTCCCTAGTGGGGATGTACAGGAGGCAACTGATCGATGATTCTCTCTCTTCATTGATGTTTCTCTCTCTTCCTCTCCCTGAAATCTGCAAAAATGTATTTTAAAAAAATGTTGCGCGTGATGGGTGCTGGTTTCACACAGCCTACCCTTCAGCTGGGCGTGCCTTACCAAAAGAGGGTGAGTGACCAAAAACACGTACGCACTGAATCGTCCTCAGTATTTAATGTAAAAAGAAAGGATCCCGGAATTTGAAACACCACTGTCTCGGCTTCCTGGCGAGTGTGGCTGTCCACGTAAAGAACTGTGTTTGTTTTCTGACCACTTTGTCCCCGCTGGGCTTGCCTCTGAGGGCGGAACGATTGGAGGAGAAGGTGCCGGCCACGGACCTAGCTCGGGCATGATTTACTATGTCTAGGTTGTCATGTACAAACCCCATCTGAGTGGGCCAGAGAGATTTTTTTTTTTTCCTCTTAAAGCAAGAAGAAATGAAAACAGAAAGAAAAACACACAACCATAGTGAGAAAAACCCCAGTCCATCTGTGGTACACAGCTCCGGCAGCGTGGGCCCCAGGCCGCGCCGCCCGCATCGCGCATTCCTGACCACTGACCAGTCTGTGTTACCAAGCGTTCAAATGTACACGTGTTAGCACTCAAATATAGTTGGGCTTATCTCTCAGGTTTTAAATATTTTTGCTAATCAGTGCAGTTGTCAATGCAATTTTTATATTCCTTAAAAGATGGAAGAGTGGGTTTTTACTGTACATGTTGAAAGGAAGAGGTAAGAGTATTATGTATTTAATTTAATTTGGAACAAACCATGGTCTTAACCAGAACTGCGGTTTGGATTTTTTAGCTTGGACTGTCCATTGCATGTAAATACAATATGATCTTTTGGTTGTAAATCTTAGAAATGTAGTATGAATGTTATCATTAATAAAAGCATTAATCCAGTCTACTACAGCCTTTGTCTCTGACTCTTTTGTTCTGTTAACAAGGAGGTTATAAGTCAGATACCAAGCTGGGGCACTTGGGACCAAGATGAGAAACCAAGGTTTGCAGAAAAAGGCCTGGGGTCAGGCAGAGTGGACGGCACTGGCTTCATGCTCTGGCTGAGAAGGGAGGCTGGTAAGTGGGGCTGTGGATTTTCACTCTACATCCATTCATTCATCCACTCCCTTGTCCTGTGCCTAGAGCAGTGCCTGACATATAGTAGCTGCTGAGTAACTACCGATACAATGAACGCATGGGTTCCGTTTCCCCACAGTTCTTATTGAGTGCCCACTGTGCTAAGCACTGTTTTACGCACTGGGAATACCGTGGGGACCCCATTAGTCCTGACTGTAGATCAGTGGTTCTCAACCTTGGCTGCACATTAGAATCACCTGGGAATCTTTTTAAAATCCTGATTTCTGGGCCTCGTCCTCCGGAAATTCTGTTTCTTTGTTATGGGGTGGGGCCACAACATTAGTAACAAAAAAAACAGAATTTCCGGAGGATGAGGCCCAGAAATCAGGATTTTAAAAAGATTCCCAGGTGATTCTAATGTGCAGCCAAGGTTGAGAACCACTGCTGTAGATGGAGATCAGATTCCAGTGGGAGGAGTTAACCAAGAGAACCAGTCAAAAGGGTTGTAAGTGTCCAAGGCAGGTGAGGGGACCATGGCAGGCGAGTCTAGCAGAAGGAGGGGAGAGTAGCAGGCCCAGGAAGGGGGCTCACTGAGAAATGGGTTTTAGGGGAGACACCCAGCAGGGCTCGAAGAGCAGCTTGTGGCCAGCAGTCTGGGTGGCTGTGCACATCAGAGGTGACGCCTGACACCTGGGAACATGCTCAGTAAAGATGCCTGATGTGTGAATGAGTGGATGGGGCGGTGCGCTTGCCTGAGCTATTCAAGCCACTCACTTTTTTACTTGGGCTCTTGGGTTTACATTAGCTGCCTTCTATCCCTACAGTTGTACTCTGCCCCTCACACCCCCACCCCCTGAACTCAGCTGAGTTCAACATGATTATTTCAACCATAAAATTATTAGCGTAAAGCCATCTCCACACATGTATGCAAATCCCCCTGAAAGGGCTGAAAGGACTTCCTTCACCATGACCCTCCTTTGCAAGGCAGCGTGATTAGGGACACTATGGTGCTCAAGGGACTGTCAGCTTTATCTGATATGTAAATATTTCAGGTGGAGGGTTTGTTTATATAATTTGTATAAAGCCATCCTAGTTTTAATCTGAAGAAGCCGCTAGAGCCTTCTAGGGAGTCCTGCCCTGTGGATCACAGGAACAGGAAGTGAATGTCCAAAAAGTGGGCAGGAGCTTCCTTTCAAGTCAAGCAAGTTTGTCATAAACTACTTGCTGGGAATATGTTTTAGGTCATTCACATGGCAGGAAAATTCCAACAGGGGTATCTTAATTTCATTGTCTTCTTTTGAACTAAACTTCAATGTCCCAGAAAAAAATTTCAGATAAGCCCTAGCACACTTAAGGCTGTGCCTTGAATTTGGGAATTCTCAACTGCATGAAATTTTCTTGGCATTTCTTGAATGGTAAAGTGTAGAGCTAAATGGCAGTATACAGTGTTGCTGTCTTGGTTACTGTTTGAAAAGCTTAAATTTTTTAAAATGAGATTAGGAAGTTGATGTGTTTACATTTTAATTTTACCCAAACAATACTTGCACGTGAAATAACCTGAGCGTTATGGTGAATCTTCGCCCCGGCCCGCCCCCTCGCATCCCCAGAATCCCTTTCAGCTCTACCCTTAGGGTTGGCAGGTCAGGCCATCCCCCTAAATGGGCGTTCACTTCTATGGAAGGTGGCTCTAGCTCACTCCCCACCCGAAGCGGGCGGCACATTAGTGTGAGCTGTGTCTAGGTTTGCGGGACTCCGCCTCCTCCCCAGCATCAGTCACCAACGTCGGGTGCTTATCTTTGACTAGGGATGCCCAGTTCTGTCTCACGTCCCAAGCTGCAGCACCAAGGATGTGACGTGTGCGCTCGGCCTGGCCCTCTGTCCACCCGCAGCGATGGGGAGGTGGGGGAGGGGGGAGCAGAAAAAGTATATTTTAAAGACTAAAGTCATAAGTCAAGCGAGGGAGTCCCATCAGCGCTGCATCAGATGGGTCTGGGGGCCTCAGTTTCCCCACCTGAGCCTGGAGCTGCTGAGCTCCAGAGTGTCCCTCCCTGCCCACCTTCACGCAATGGCTGCTCGCTGGTCCCGGCCTGCACCCGCGCACCCCTCCCACGGCCACAGGCCCCGCCCCCTCCCCTGAGACCCAATCCACTCCCCCCTGCGCGCCCCGCCCTGCAGATCCCGCCCACTGCCACAGGCTCCGCCCCCTCCCCTGAGACCCAATCCACTCCCCCCTGCGCGCCCCGCCCTGCAGATCCTGCCCACTGCCACAGGCCACGCCCCCTCCCCTGAGACCCAATCCACTCCCCACCTGCGTGCCCCGCCCTGCAGATCCCGCCCACTGCCACAGTCCCCACCCCCTCCCCTGAGACCCAATCCACTCCCCCCTGCGCGCCCCGCCCTGCAGATCCCGCCCACTGCCACAGGCCACGCCCCCTCCCCTGAGACCCAATCCACTCCCCATCTGAGTGCCCCGCCCTGCAGATCCCGCCCACTGTCACAGTCCCCACCCCCTCCCCTGAGACCCAATCCACTCCCCCCTGCGCGCCCCGCCCTGCAGACCTGCCCACTGCCACAGGCCACGCCCCCTCCCCTGAGACCCAATCCACTCCCCACCTGAGTGCCCCGCCCTGCAGATCCCGCCCACTGCCACAGGGCCCGCCCCTCACGCCCCACCCACCGGCGGGCCCTGCCTCCAAGCCCCGCCCACGGCTTCGCGCCCGCCCCACCCTCTACAGGCCACGCCCACTCCACGCCCATCCCCCAACTCCGACCCCTTCCACAACAGTTAACCGCCACACCTGTGCTCCAGCAACCCCAAGGCCAGGTGCGCCCCTCCGAGGAGGCCTGTCTCCGGGGCCCTGGCCCGGCCTCGGGTCTGCAGGCGGGGGCGGGGGGGACGGTGGGCCCCTGGTCAACCCCTCGGGGCGGCTGGACTCCCTGGTCGGGACGGTGGGACCCCTCTCCCGCCATCAGCCCGGGGGTCGCGGTGGTGGCGGCGGGTAGGCCAGGCGCCCTCTTACCTGGCCGCGTCTTTGCAGGTGCGCGGTTCTGCCGATCCCGCCTGGCGCCGGGTGCGGGTTCCCGTCGGGAACATGGACGAGGCGCCCCTGCTGGGCGGGATGTCCAGTCCCGAAGAGGAGATGGGGCCCGACCTGTTCGGCGCAGAGGGTCGGTTTGTCTCGGAAAACACAGGCCTGAAGGCGCCGGCGGTGGTGAAGGCGGAGGAGGAGGAGTTCCACGTGTTTAAGGACCCCTACCTGAGCCCCGCGGGCCCCAAGGAGCCCCTGCTGCACGCCTTCAACCCGCCGCTGGGCGCGGACTTCGGCAGCAAGGTCAAGGTGGAGCTGCTGGTGGATGACCACGAAGAGGAGATCCTGGGCCAGTTCCCGAGTCTCGCCGAGCTCGACCCCCTGGAGGACGCGGTGCTCCCCGCGGCCCCGCCGCCCCCGCCGACTTACAACGTGCACCTGCTGTCCTCCCTGCTGACCCCGCACCGGAGTCCTGCCCTCGTGCCCCTGGGCGCCTGGGCCCTGGACGGGGCCGCCCACGCCGGCGTCCGGGTGATCCCAGTAAGATGGGGGGGATGGGCACGGTACCCCCTCAGCCCTCCGGGAGCCGGGCGGGGAGGCTGCTGGCTGCCCCCGGCATGTCCCTGTGTCAGCCCCATCCCTGGTTGGTGTCCGGCCACACAGGGTGCAGCCCTTTGTAACCCGTTCAGCCTGCAGGTGAATCACGTCCTGGGTCCCTGGTTCACACCTGGCCTAGCCCTGCAGGGGGCGCCCGACCACAGAGGAAAAGGACTGGAAAGTGGGTCACACGGGGAGAAGAGCCCTGATGGTCGGAGTAACTGTGTCTGTGAAAACAAACGCAGCGTGGTTGGCTTTTCATGTTCTTGCCTTTAGCTTTCTCCCCGCTTTACATTGAGAACGCCTGTGTCATACAGAGCACAGCGAACTCCTGCCAGCTCTCAGATAACTACCCTCCTTTGCTGAAGAAAATCATCGATAATTTTCTGCTCTCTCCTTGCTAAACAAATTCATTTTTTTAAGTATATTTTTTATTGATTTCACACAGAGAGGAATGGAGAGGGACAGAGAGAGAGGAACATCAATGATGAGAGAGAATCATGGATCGGCTGCCTCCTGCACGCCCCCTACTGGGGTTCGAGCCCTCAGCCCAGGCATGTGCCCTTGACCAGCATCGAACCCAGGACCCTTCGGTCCCCAGGCCAACGCTCTATCCACTGAACCAAACCGGCCAAGGCAACAAATTTATTTTTAAAGGGAGCAAAGGATCCCAAGGAAATGTATGCCACCGCCTACTCCCCACCCCTCATCCCTGAAGGATCTAGTTTGGAAGCTAGGTTACTCACCATTAATCTTTTGAGTAGGTCATAGGCTAAGCCAGCCGTGGGCAAACTACGGCCCGCGGGCCGAATCCAGCCGTTTGAAATGAATAAAACTAAAAAAAAAAAAAAGGACCGTACCCTTTTATGTAATGATGTTTACTTTGAATTTTTATTAGTTCACACAAACACTCCATCCATACTTTTGTTCCGGCCCTCCGGTCCAGTTTAAAAACCCATTGTGGCCCTCGAGTCAAAAAGTTTGCCCACCCCTGGGCTAAGCCTTTGCACTACTGTTGAGATGGCTGGAGCTGGACTCCACGTCCCCTACGCCAGCAACAGCACCTTGGATTTCTGCTTTCTGGTGTTTTGGTTATTTTAGCACAAGCACTGTTCCTTGGTGTAGAGCAGGGGTCCTCAAACTACGGCCTGCGGGTCACATGCGGCCCGCCAAAAACATTTGTTTTTTTACTTCAAAATAAGATATGTGCAGTGTGCATAGGAATTTTTTCATAGTTTTTTTTTTTTAAACTGTAGTCCGGCCCTCCAACGGTCTGAGGGACAGTGAACTGGCCCCTGTTTAAAAAGTTTGAGGACCCCTGGTGTAGAGGTCCCATCTGACTGGGAGGGACCACAGAGCAGGCAGCCCCAAGCCCTCCTCACACAGAGGTCTCCCGCAGAACCTCTCAGCCAGCGTGAATGCTCATTTGCCAAACTTGCCCTGATAGCTTCTGCCTGTTGGTCCTGGCACGGCTCCCATACGAACACCATCTTTTTTGAAGGATTACCTGCCCTGTCTCACAGACAGCTGGGCAGGTGGAGCCTAAGGGTGGGGGCGGAGGGTACACGGTTAGGTTAACTGTGTTTTCCGCCCTCCTTACATTCTTTTTTTTTTTAATCCTCAAGGATATTTTCCCATTGATTTTTATTTATTTTTCTTTTATCTCCCCGCCCCCCCCCATTGATTTAGAGAGAGAGAGAGAGAGAGAGGATAAACATCTCTAAGAGAGAGAGACGCCGAATCCGGTTTGGCTCAGTGGATAGAGCATCGGCCTGCGGACTGAAAGGTCCCAGGTTCGATTCGGTCAAGGGCATGTACCTGGGTTGCGGGCACATCCCCAGTAGGGAATGTGCAGGAGGCAGCTGATTGATGTTTCTCTCTCATCGATGTTTCTGACTCTCTATCTCTCTCTCTTCCTCTCTGTAAAAAATCAATAAAATATATATTTTAAAAAAGAGAGAGAGAGAGAGACATCAAGTGGTTGCCTCCCATATGTGCCCTGGGGATTGAACTTGCAACCAAAGTACATGCCCTTGACCGGGAATCGAGCCCGAGACCCTTGGGTCCGCAGGCCAATGCTCTAACCACTGAGAAAAACCGAGGGCAGCCCTCCTCCTTACATTCTTATCATTTAAAAAGTATCTCAATTTTAAAACCCTCAATTCTGATGGTAATTTTTTTAACTGAAACTTTTTAGTGTCTTTCTTACTCCATTGATTTTCAGTAATATCATGGTATTTCTCCCTGTTCTTGGTAATTGGCTGGTGTCACTGAGGTGACAGTTGCGTAGAGCACAGCTGAGACACAAAGGTGGCGGTCGTGCCCACCCTCACTTTCATACTCACGTTGTCCTACTGTTCAGTTAGGGAAGCTCCACACTAACTATCGCTAGCAGCGCGTTGTAAGTTACATTATAAATATCACCAAACAGCAGCAGGGACTGCAGGCTTTGCAAGGAAACAGCAAAAACAATGGGCCAGAAGGTTCCACAGAGCCGACGAGCCTGCTCTCAGGGGGCACTGAAGGGTGGGCACCTCAGGACGGTCCCGCTGGCTGCAGCTCCAGTGGAGTGGGGGCTGGCGAGCAGCTCGAGGGGCGCCCACTGACCTGGGAGTCTGCTCGGTCACACGGGGCCACGTGGACATCACACCTCTGGCCCCACGGGCAGGTGGGACGACTGTGCCCCAGGGAGGGAGGGTGAGGGAGGAGGCACGCAGGCCAAGTGTGACTTCCAGAGAGAACGTTCTGTGCTGTGCAGCTGCTGCACCCAGTGTCCCCCACGTGGTTTCTGAGCAGCGACCGCTTTTCCAGGTGGAAGTGAAGGAAGAAGGTGGCGCTGTGCCGAGTGAGAGCGTGGAGGAGGCCGCTCTGCAGAACCCTCCGTCCCAGGAGCCCTGCAAGTTCCCGTGCTCGCAGGACGCCGAGGACTCTCAGAAGGACGGGAACACCATGGTAACCTTGCTGGGAGAGCGGCTGTTGTGTGGGTGCGGGGCCTGTATTGCTGTGACTGAGCCGACTGCACTGGTGTGTCAGTCAGCGTGTGCCTGCTGAGTCAGCATTTTGGTTGTCTCCCCAGAGGGCATTCGAGCCTGCCTAACCCTCCCGCTCCAAGTCCTCACTCCAGCCAGTGCAGCAAGTCAAACAAGGATGAGGACATGGCTGTGTTTTTAAGGACAGTGACCACACGTCACACCAGTCAGCACAGACCCAGGCGGCCTGACAGCAGCCGGCTGAGCGGGTGGCGCGTGGGGGGTGGCCTGTGGGTGGGAGACGGGCTGCGGCTGCAGGGCCCAGGCTGCTGCCCTCCCTGCCCACCTCCAAGTCCTAATACCACCAGCACTCCTCTCGGAAAGGCAGTCAGTGACACGTGTGGTCTGTGTGCTACTTTCCTGAAATTCTCTTATCCAGTCTGTAGGGTGGGCATTATTTTTGTCTTCATTTTATGGCTAAGAAACAGATGTTACATAGTCGGCCCATCCGGCACCTCTAGGATTCGGGCCAACCCCAAGCATTCCGTGAGCAAAGAGCCCAACAACCAAGCTTGTCCCCCACCCCTGCAGCTCTTGACTCTGAGGAGGCCTTCGCCCTAAGCCCACACTTTGCCAGGGAATGAACCCGGCTTAGCTCTGGCATGCACGGCACTCACCTCTCTGTCAGGCCCCAGGGAGTGAGGGCAGAGCTTTCCCAGGACACACGGACCAGGTGAGCAGGGCGGGGCCGCCTCCATTTACACCAGACCATTGAGTCAGGCCCCCGGGTGCGCGATGGACAGAGGCCTGGGGTCCACCCTGCGCCTCTCTCGCGCGTGCACGGCTATAATTTAACCCTCCAGATACAAATAAACTCCCACTGAACACGAATGCTGGCCCTCGTCCAGGGTCGGTGCCCAGAGCTCTGCCGGGAGCGCCTCACTAGCAGGGGCTCTCCTGAGACTGGTAACACTGGTCCTTTAGGCTTGAGTTGTCCTGTCTCAGAGCCCAGAGGCCACCGAGGGCAGAAGCACAGCCGGCTGAGTGGAAGCTGTGTGGGCAAAACCACGGCTGCCCTTCCTGGGACGGGGCCACCAGCGAGGGCTCCAGCCCGGCTCTGCCCGACCGACGTGCCTGGCTGGCGGGCCCTTGCCTCATGGAGGGTGTGTTCAGGGTCAGAGCCCAGCCCGGTGGCCTGAGTGCTGGCCAGGCCCAGGAACACTGACGTGGCTTCTTAGAATTTTCCAGTTCTTGGATTAACCTTTCAAAGTTGTACTTGTAGGAAATAACATTAATAGACGTTTAAAAAAATCCCGCATATTAAATAAACACATGAGTATGGCAGGAAGGAACACTGGTCATGAATTAAAGAAGACTGAGTGGGCCGGGGTAGGGCAGCTCGGTGCGCTCTGCGCTCCCGTGGCCTGGAGGAGGCGGCAGGGGCCTCTGTGAGCCCAGCCACCGTCTGAGAGCGTGTGGTGGAGCAAGGAATCGAGAACAGATGGGCAGGTTGCCATTTTCCAAGAAGACATAAGTTCCAGATTAAAGCTATGTTGTTGGTGGACGTTCGTGCGGGTTCATTCTGGGGCGGTTTTTTGTTTTGTTTTTACAGCAAAGGTAGAAATTCACTGAAGAGCAAGTACAGATTCCCACGTGGGAGGGGATAACGTCCCCGGGCGGCTGTGACACGTGAGCCTGACCCTTGTGCTTCATTCCAGGTGCTGTGTCAGTTGAAAGGCGGGACACCAGTGCTGCGCACAGACAACCCGAGTGCGCGAGAACTAAAAGCACTCCATTTGGTTCCTCAGTATCAAGACCAAAACACTGCTCTGCAGTCAGGTACGAAGTAAATTCATTCAAAAGCCATGTCCTATCTGTCAGTTGGTAAGGGACCATGTTTGGCTTTGTATATTGAAAAAAAGTGAGATAGGCAGTGAGGGTATTAAGGAGGCAATTTGGCAAACTTCATGTTCCATAGCAGCGAGCTAAGAATGGAAAAATGTCTTCATAGACCAATGTGTGTGCCTTCCATTGACTGTCTCAAGTTTTGGGATAGCCGCGCCCTTCCTCCGCTAGCTGTGGACGGCTTGCCATCCTAACAGGTGACAACTCCTTCCAGCACGCCGGTGTGCTGGGTGCCAGGTTGAAGCATCAGCCCTCCCAGCTTGAGTGGGGGCTTGGCCCTCAGCTGTGGTATAAACTGCATGTAAGGGAAACGCCTTCATATAAGCCCCAGGAGTTCTGAAATAACTGCGTAAAATGCTGATTATCTGACACTCATTTACTCGGCAACTTCTTCAGACTGGCACAATAGTAATAAGCGACATGCAGGCACGTGATGATCCTGTAACGCCTTAGGCATGACTAGAGACTGAATGGTGTAGCTTTCAGCTTGTGCTTGCAGAAGGGAGACAAGAATTCTTCAAAACTGGGCATTTCTATGTGGACTGCATATGTAATTGCGTTTCTCCAAATCTTGATTTAACCAGAATATTTCCTTACCAGATTCACTGCCCATAATTTAAATCCACATTAAACCCAGATGTCCTCTCCTGGACCTGCAGAGTCTGGGCAGAGAGAGAGAGAGTGTGACCCTCTTCCATCCGACAGTCCCTTCATCCAGGGACAGGCAAGGCCTTCGGGACTCTGCCTTGTCTCGCTGTGCAGAGCAGGGCGGGCATGGTCCTCCCAGTCGAAGCTTCCGGGCTCCGTTCCCTGGAGGTCAGAGCTGTCTCTGGTCCTCACACAGGCAGGGCGTTCTTTCCCACCCCACCCCCCTTTCTGGCCGTGGCAAGCCACCGTGCCTTTAGATCCACAGGAGGACTTCCTTGTCATGTAATCCCCATTCCCTTGCCCAGTCCCCTTTGTGATGCTGTAAACATACTAAGTATCAGCGTAAAATAACTGTATCCTGACCTAAGTCTTAAGGTAGCATCTCTCAGAGGCTGCAGGTGGGTGATTCGGGAGATGAAGGCACGTCTCCTTCCACTGGGACCCACCAAGCCCTTGGTGTCTCAGGAATGGTTGTCACTGTGCCCTTGGGCCCAAGAAACACCTACCAGCTCTACTCCTTAGGTAGTTTGGGCTAAATAACCTGATCAGTACTTACATCCTCACCACTAAGTAACCAGTTGGAAAAGAAACACATAAATGGAAAGTACTTCACCTGATGACCAGCAGATGTCGCTGTGCTTTCTTTGAAAATAAACTTTCTGGCGGCTTCCTGGTGAGTGTGCTGCCTACTCCAGGGTACCTCAGCCAGCAGTTTGGGAACCTGGGTATGCAACATTGTTTAGGATAGACTATCCCTGGAGCTCAAGCTAAGTAGCTTCATGGCAAAGAAAAAGGGTGTAATTAGTAAAAACTTACATTGACTTGAAAGTTTTTATAGGATAAAAAACAAAGAGGATGAAGATAAATTTAAATGACTTTGCACATGATAAATCCATGATACATTTCATGTTTGAACATTCTTCCGTGTGCACGTGGAAGGAAAACAATATATGCATCAATTAATTTTAATTGTCTTCCTTACAGATGTCCCTAAACCAGTGACTACTTTAGTAGGAAGATTTTTGCCAGTGCCAGCAAAATTAAATCTCATTACACAACAAGTGAGTCATGTTTTAACAAAAAAACAACTGTCTCTTGAAATTTTGATTGTTGGAATTTCTCAGGAAATACAATTATCCTCCATTTAAAGATCCACAGTGAACCATTTACCAAGTGTTCAGCCCCGTCCCCACAGTGACAGGCCTGGGAGGGATGGATCCGACCAAGATGCAGCTCTTTGTCCCCCAAAACAAAGCAACATAAGACACATGACTCTAAGCTCCTGCAGGAGACAGACAGTAGACAGACCTAAAAAGGGAGTCACACTGCGCCGGGACAGCAAAGGATGGGCACAGGGCATGGGGGTCTATGGGAGGAAGGCGGACCCGTTGGCTCCACTGAGAAGGTCTTGAAAGACAGAGGGAGGGAGCCAGGTGGTGCCTCGTGGAGGCAGATTCCAGGCAGGGCCCAGCACGGAGAGCAGGACAGCGGGGCTGGGGTGAGTGAGCATGAGCGGGAGGAAGAGGCAGGTGATGGAAGGGCTGTGCCTTCACTGGGCTTAAAGGGGCTGGCCCAGAGCGGGGGCAAGGCCAGTGGTAGACCGTGGCCCTAACAATCTCGGGCCGCGGGCATGGAGGTGTCGAGAAGCAGCAGCTCCTCAGGGTACTTTGAAGGCTGCGCCAGTGTTTGTGAGAGGCTGGATGTGGGAACCGGAACCGGTTGAGCTAAGGATGCCAGGGTCTTCAGCCTGAACATGGGCCGAGGGGGTGTCCTCGGAGCTGAGAGGGGAGTGGGGGCAGCCTGAGTGCCCCTGGAAATGTGGAGTTCAGCGTCTCCGAGTTGTTGGGAGTCGGCTCAGAGGGCGGAGTCGGCACACCTGGGATTGACAGCCACCAGCTAGAGATTTCTGAGTCTGGTTTAGAGTTAATATTTGTTGAGTAAATATTTCTCAAATGATACAATAGGCAGGAGGGAAGGGTTGCTAATGAGACATCAAATGTTATGAGTCTAAGCCAAGGGTGGGCAAACTTTTTGACTCGAGGGCCACAATGGGTTCTTAAACTGGACCGGAGGCCGGACCAAAAGCATGGATGGAGTGTTTGTGTGAACTAATATAAATTCAAAGTAAACATCCGTTACATAAAAGGGTACGGTCTTTTTTTTTTTTAGTTTTATTCATTTCAAACGGCCGGATCCGGCCCGCGGGCCGTAGTTTGCCCACGGCTGGAAGCCGTGGTCCTGTGAGCGGCCTGCACCTCCTCCCTCCCTCCTGGCCGCCGCCCCCCTTCTGGCCGCCCCCTCCCCCCCCTCGCCGCCTCACGTGGCACTGCTCTTCCTCCTCGGAGCTCTGCAGGAGAAATGCCCTTTAGGCCACACCTCCTCCCGGCTCTCCTTGGCTGTGATGATTCTTGTCCCCGTTCTGGCTCCCCTGACTTCTTACCCTGTGGGCCTCGGGCAATTCTCCTAGCAATGCATTTGCTGCCTCCCTGGAACCCCTGCTTCCTTGCCAGCCCCCACTTCCAAGTGTTGTTAGAGCCTCACTCCTCAAGGTGTGCTTCGAGAACCCGCGTGGGCATCCCGGGAGCTGCTGGAAACTTGGCTCTCAGCCCCGCCCAGAACCCGCATCCCAGCGAGGTGCCAGGGAGGTGGGTTCCTGTCTCCACTCCTGGGTGCCAAACGCCGCTGAAGAAGGCTGTGGGTTCCAGCAAAGGTTGCCCTAGATTTGCTGCCTGCGTGGCCCTTAGGAGACATTCCTTTTTCTCTGCGTTACTTTGGGCCTAAGCAGAGGGGAAGAAACTGCCCCTGGTTTATGCAAAGAATGGCCTCAGCCCCGTGAGATCCTTTCTCCAAAAGAATCGCAGCTCTTTGGACGGCCCGTGGGGACGGGTGTCTGGGACGGAGGGACACGCGGGCACGTCCCTCCTGTGAACGGAGTCCCCGTGCCAGTGGGAGGCTTTGCACAGGGTGGTTGCTCAGTGTCCTCGAGCCCAAGAGGCAGCGGAGACACACAATTTAAAAAGAGGCGACAGGGGGGCGAGGAGGAGGATGGGTAAAACGGTGTTTTTCCCAGGCTGTACTGCGTAAGTAAAGCTTATTTTAAAATTTCAAGTTTTCAGTGGAGGGACAGGATAGGGCGTTTAGCTGTGATATAGACAATCTCAAAATCTAAATGTATCCAACCCTTTTCATTTCTTCAAGCTCTGAGAGGGAGAAAATTAGGTCAGCAATGTTGCCAGCTTTTCCTTTCCCTGTGAGCCACGCTGCTGAGGAACAAAGAAAAATAAGCTGGAACCAGGAGAGCCACGGCCGTGGATAAAGCAGAGATTACGACATTGCTTTTGAATTCGTTAATGTTGACTATGAAATGCTCCTTTTGAATAGATGAAAAAGTAATGGTTGCTAATGAGACATCAAATGTGAAGATCGCTCATGTTACACTAAGGATATAATAATAATGGCCATTTTTAGTTTACAGAGATTGGTAATTGAATTTATTTCACAAAATGAAAAAGATGTCCAATACAGTGTTCTAGCCAGCGGCTGACCGCTGTGTGTGCTGCCTGCCAGCTGGTCTGTGGCCTGGCCCTAGGTCCCAGACGTCCCTTGGTCCGGACCGCAGTCAGGGCCCCTGGCCTTGGCGCCCTGTGGCCAGGCTCCTGGCTGTGGCCGCCACCTGGGCTGGAGCCTTCGGGGCTGATGGCACGTTCCTGCTAACAGACCCAGACTTGTTGGGAAGTGATTTCGAGATAAAACCAGGAGGAGGATTGTTTTCCTCTGTAGCTAGAGGCTGACTGGAAGGAACATTTAAAACAGGGGCCCTCAAACTTTTTAAACGGGGCCAGTTCACTGTCCCTCAGGCCATTGGAGGGCCGGACTATAGTTTAAAAAAAAACTATGAACAAATCCCTATGCACGCTGCACATATCTTATTTTGAAGTAAAAAAACAAAACGGGAACAAATACAATATTTGTATTTGCATGTGGCCCGCGGGCCGTAGTTTGAGGACCCCTGGTTTAAAACATCCACTAATTCAAAATATGCTGGCCTTGACTCTCTGCAGCTGGACCACGGAGCCCAGCCGGCCGCGGCCTTGGGGTCTGCTCTGCCCTCGGGACCAGCCCTCCCCGCACCGCCCCGGATAACGCTGGCTGGGTAAGGACCATCGCCATCGACAGTCACTCCTTCAAGAACCTAAGAGGCTCTCTCGGGGGGTGCACTGTCATTTTCTTCTAAGTGGAAGCATTAGCTTTGCTGCAGCCTTCCCCAGCAATAAAAGAGCTTTGGGAGGAGCAGCGCGCGACAGTGCCGTGTGCGTGGGGTAGGTGTCGCCGGGACGGCCCCATGCTGCCCCCGGGCTGTGTCTCAGAGGCTCCGTCTGCTTCACATTGGTTCACGTGAGCTGTTGTATTTCTTTTTCTTTCTTGCTGTCATCACGTGAGCAATGGCGTGGCCGTCCCTTACTGTGGATGGTGGTCTTGGCGCACCTTCCCGCGGGTCCCTCACGCTCTCCGGCAGCGCGCCAGGCGGTCTCCGAGGGGACGTGGCTGCCCTTCCTGCCTGGGACCTCGATTGCCATTTTCAAGTGGCGGCTGTCATTGTAACTCAGTAAACTCGCCCAGCTGGTTGAAGCTCTGTTCACATTCACGGACCAGCCGGGGATGGACAGCCCTTTCCGCGCAGGCAGCCTCTGTCCTGCCCCCAGGAGTGCGGGCAGGCAGCCTAAGGCAGCGGGCGTGGGCCTGACGGAGGCAGCCCGGCAGTGGGGGAGGGGCTCCTGCGGGGCTGCCCCGGGCACAGGCTCACCAGGCGCTGGCAGTGGGAGCGGCCAAGGGACCCCCCTAGTTCTGGAGGCTGCGTGGCCCGTGAGGAGTGAGCACCAGCCGTCGATGATTTCTGTTCTCCGGCTTCCTCCGGGTGCGCTGCTGTTGCTGTCCTGGCCCCTGGTCGTGGCCGGCACAGCCAGGCGGCCCTACTGGCTGCGTGGCAGGTCGGGTTGCGCAGCCATGAGGGGGTCATGGGCCCGAAGACACTGGTTTCCCCTCCTTGTCCTCGGGAGCTTTGCTGTGTGCTTTGGTGCGGCCAGGACCCCGGTCCCTCTGGGCGCTGCTGGAGGACGTGGGGGCAGAGCCTGGTGAGGGTCCTCCCTGCAGCCCATTTCTCCCGGGCCCTCCCCCTCTCCAGCCTCTACCAGGCTTTCTCACTCAGCACAGTCTCCTTTTTTTGAGGTCATTATACAGGTCATAACCAATTTTCTGTTATAAATGATGTGCCAGGAACAATATGAGCTTTGTGTTCGCATTTTTTGCTGTGAATAATTACTTGATTTGCTGTCACTGCACGAACCCAGCCGGTGATCTGCATCTGAACCCCCTGTGCTGGGCCTGGGGTCTGGGAGGGCAGTCAGGGGCTGCTGCTCCGTTCTCACCCAGCCTGGCCCCAGCTCGTACCTCTCAGGCTCTCCACTAGCTTCCTTGTTGATTTCCCCAAGACAAGGCCAGACAGGGTCCGAGTAGGGATGTGGGCGGGGGTCAGCGTGGGCCCGCCAGCAAATGGGTGAATTCACTCTCAGTCGCCCTTCTGCTGGGTGTGAAGTGCTCCCTTACCAACTAGCTGATCACATGGATGAAAGTCTGTCTGGCCACCGGTGTTGGTCCAATAATCCGGTCACCAGTATTGGTGTGAATTCTGACGCATCATTGCTGCTGTTATTTTTGGTAATGTAATGACAACTATAATAAGGAATATGAAGTTTCTGCTTTTCTGGAAACTTTAAAAATATGTCTGTATTGGTTCAGAGAGGAAGGGAGAGGGCGAGGGCGAGGGCGAGGGCGAGGGCGAGGGCGAGGGAGAGGGAGAGGGAGAGGGAGAGGGAGAGGGAGAGGGAGAGGGAGAGGGAGAGAGAGGAACCTCAGTGATGAGAGACGGTGAGGGGGGTGTCCCCGGGGAAGCGGGGCAGGGGCTCTGGAGCTGGAAGTGCCACAGCAGCTGGGAGCTGGCGCAGTGACGGGGTCTTCCCGTTTTCCCAGGAGGAGATGGTTGACTGCGAGTCAGGGGCATAGTGTGGACCCTGTCACACGTGTGTCCCCAGCATTCATCTCCCCCACACAGCACCCAATGGGAGAGACAGCAAGACCGAGCCTAGAGCAGTGCGGCCTCGGGTCCCCTGCGTCTTCTCTCCCAGGAGGGTCTCCGGTGCCGTGGCGGAGGGGCGGGGACAGCTGGTGGGAAGACGGCTCTTTATTAACTGACATGTCCACCCCAACCTGCTGTGTTCCCGGGACAACAGCAGTGGGGCCAGGGGATGGTGGGCATCAGTGGACATTTCCAGGAAATGGTTTTGACTCGGCCACGGCCTGTGACAGGCTGTGCGACTGTCCCCACAGGTACTGCGACTGCTTTGCCAGTGGGGACTTCTGCAACAACTGCAGCTGCGATGCCTGCTGCAGCCACTTACGCCACGGACTCGAGCGCTTCAAGGCCATTAAGGTAAGTGCCTTCCCATTAAATGAAAGCATCTCAGAAGCACTGAAATGTCTCGCAGGCTAAAACCACCGCCAGAGAGTCTGCGTTTCAGTTTGGGGAAAGCCTGGGTGTTGAAGAATGTACACAGAAAGCGACAGGGAGGGAGCTTTGCCCTCCCCTGGGACGCCCCGGGACTCGGAAGGTCCTGATTCAAGAACACCCACATGTCCACGTTGTCTTGACCTGAGAAACTGGGTCATACACGCAGCAGAGAGGCCCACGTTGGAGCAGCGTGCTCTGCAGACGTGTGGCTGGCCCACTGTCCGGGGGAAATGGGGAGGAAGCTCTCAGCCATCACGAATGTCTCGATTGTGCTCCAGGATGTCCGGGTGACGGGAGAACCTGGGCTCCCTTCCAGGCCGCCGCCCTGCAGGCCGCTTGCTAACGGCTACCTGCGGGAGCTTGCAGCGCCTCTTCTGTGGACACACAAGGTGCCCAGAGCAGGGAGGACAGTTAGGCTGGGGCCGGGGGCCTAGTTTGCACAGGACAGTGAGGCCATCACCGTGGACCGGAGATCACCATGCGCCATGGCTGGTCAGTTCCTTGTTCCTACAGTAATCTAACTCCCCTCTTGAATTAGAGATAAGTTTGTTGAAATTGATGACACACATAACTTCAGTATAGTAGCACTTTCTTTAGGGTAAAAGGTACTGTCTGCAGTGTACAACGCTTTATTTAAAAAGCGGTGGCATTCCCGTGCATTGCTGGTAGGAATACAAACTGGTACAACCACTTTGGGGAGTTGTTTGGCATCAACTACTACAGCTAACCCTTGCATGTACTATCACCCGCAGTTTTATCTTACTTCTAACACACAGCCAGTATACATGTCCACCAGAGCCTTTACAAGAATGCCCTCAACAGCTTTACTCATAGTAGCCGCAAACCGGACCCGACCCGGGTGTCCGTCTGAGGCAGGGCGATGAGCCTGTGCGGGCTGGCCGTCAGAGGGGCAGGAAGGAGGAGAGCTGTGTGCAGCTGCGGGAGGATCTCCTGGCGGGCGCTGCTGGAGGAAGCCAGGCGGAAAGGGTACACGCTGCGTGATGCCACCTGCGTGAGGTTCCAGCAGAGGCGGAACGAAGCCCCCAAGTCCAAACAGGTTCCCCTGGGGGTGCCGATGGGCAGGCGTCACCGGGAGTCTCTGGGGCGGGGCCGTCGAACTTGACTGAATGGGGCACACGGGGCACAGCCTGCTCAGAGTCCTGACCTCGTCCCGCAGCACGTGGCCCAGGTCCCAGCCGCCAGCCTGCGGACGGGACTGCGCGGTGACTCGTGTCTGCTTATGAAGAGCACCGAGTCACGTTGTTAAGAACATGTGCACATCTGTGTGTCTAGGGAAGGTGGGTAGATGGTAAGACATGTGAACAAGCCGGATAAAAGGCAGCTGAGTTGCATGAGAACAGAAAGCCCAGCGGCCGAGACCCAGGCTCGGTGGGCCTTGGAGTCGATTCCATCACTTGCCGTCGCTCTGCAACCTCCAGCACCCCAGTTTCTGCGTCTGTAAGACCAGGGCAGCAGTCATGCACACGCCCCACCTGGCTGCGTGGGTCCCGCGGGAAGATGCCGGAACGCGGCGCGTGGGCAGTGGTGAGCCATCGCAGAGCCCCGGGTCCCGCTGACCTGGGAAAAGCAACAAGAAACCCTGGAGGAAACGCGTCCACAGACACAGCCATTTCCTCGGCATCTTCACCAACCGTTCGTTTTCTACAGCAAAACCCAGCAAACATATATGACGCTGAAGCCGGGGGGCGGGGGGAGCCTGAGAGGCTGGCTGCAGGAGACGGCAAGCGTGCGAGCGGGGTGAACGGACCGCGGTGCATTTCTCACTGACGACGGGGCCGGTCACTGTGGCTCCTCCAGGGAACAGCGAGAGCAAGTGACAGGCAAAGCTGACCTGGTGCTGGGAGGGAACCCCCAGCCCACATACATGACCTTGACAGGGAATCGAACCCTCGACCCTTCGGTGCATGGGCTGACGCTCCAACCACTGAGCACATCGGCCAGGGCTGTGAGCTTCATTTTTAAAAAGTTGTCATAGAGGCTCAGATGTAAGAAAGGCCTCATGATTCTGGAGATGGGCCCTGAAAGGTCCGGCAAGCAGACCTAGCCGTCCATCCCCCCTCCATTATCCCCGTGCAGATCCTGAAAATACAGTCAGAACTGGTGCAGAGATGGCGAACCCTAAAAGTGAGCGCAGCCCCAGGCGCTGTGGCGTCCCTGCTCCTCATGGCGCCCGCTGGCTGCCGGGTGACGCTGTGTCAGCCACCTGCCTCTGCCCAGCCACGGCCACGTGAGGTGCAGGGGACCTGTAGTCCCTGGCATTATAGAGGAACTAGAAATCCCAAGAAACCTCCGTTCAAAACACCCAGAGGTGCAGAATAAGGCACACCAGGCACCTTTGAGCTGGAAGGAACAGAGGGAAATGGCAGGGGTTGGGCAGAGAGGACGCTAGAAACTCCAGTGTCCCAGGGCGAGCTTGCAGGCCGTGCCCAGGGCCTTGCACAAGCAAGTGCTTGGACCCAGGCTTGCTGGACACAGCCGGTACCCCCTCGCTGCCCCCTGGGAGCAACACTGCCATGAAACAAGGAATAAAGTCCACCCACTGGGAGGCAGGTAGGCCTGCCCAGAACACCCAGCACAGGCCAGCCGGCAGGTTCAGACTCCTCCACCCCCTCATCTTCTGCCGCAGTGGGAGCCCGAGGTGCCCTCAACTGCGGGCCAAGGTGAACCCAAGCTGGGACTGTGTAACCAGCTACGCAGCTGCATTCAAAATCAGAGTTAGCGCCCCCTGGGGACTCCACCCACACTCACCCAGCTCCCAAAGCCCCTCCCCACCCCCTTGTCAGCGCCCCACTGTGTCCCCTCTACAGCGGCACCTGGGCACGTGCCCCTCGCGCTCCTCGCATCACCGCCATGGGCCCCTCTCACTCCTGCTCTTTTGGTCTGAAAATTGCTGGTTATGTGTACACCATAAAGCTATTGAAGGTCCAAACAGAATTTGTTCTTCTGGGTGATTGTAGGACAATTCTCTATTTCCAGGCCAAAATCATGTGCTCCTCTATCTGCAAATGCATTGGCTGCAAACATTATGAAGAAAGCCCCGAACAAAAAACACTCATGGCCGTGCCAAACTACGCGGAAGCTGGCAGTTTTGAAGGCAGCCATTACGTGTCAGGACTCCCCAAATTCAGGAAGGAGAGGTAGGTGCTCGGAACTGACCTCCTGATGGGGAACGGGGCTCATGCACACACTGGAAGGGGCGGGCCTGTCTGCAGGGCGGGCGCCAGCGACTGGACGAGGTGCCGTCCCCCCTTCCAGACTCACCCTGGACCCACACTGTCCCCAGAGGCCCCTTGCTTTGTCCTGTGTGTCCTCTGAGCAGGAGCCACCAGCAGGCCACTGGCCTCGGGCTGCGGGTGTGGCTTCCAGACAGCAAACCTCTGAGCTGCCCGTCACCGTCACCGTGTGGTGAGCGCAGAGACGCTCGGGACGCAGGCTGGTCCTCCCCAGCGCGGTGAACCCGTGCAGCTGGGTATTTTCCCATTCATTAGCCTGCGGCCATGTGGTGGTCCTCGTAGCTCAGAGATTGAGGAATAACTTTATATTGGACTAGATTTATCCATTTAAAAACCGTCTTTGCCTTCACACGTCATTAATGTTGTTGAACAGCCACGTTCATGCTCCTTTGCTTAGAGACGTCAGAGGTGGCCTCACTGTGGCCTGCAGAGGGCTGTGTGGTGGACGCTGACCAGGCGTGGCCCAGTCCTCTGGGAAACTGCAGAGACAGTGTGGCCGCTTCCCCCGGGACCGTGTGTCGATGGAGTGTGACGAGGGCTCCAAGCCGTGGACTCTGGTCTCAATGTGATAGCTCCACCCCAGGCAGCCCTGTCCTCTCACCTTCAACTCAGTTCTTGCGTGTTACCTTGGTGGAGAGGTGTTTTTTTAAGTGTGTTACTTTATTAATATATCTTTATTGATTTCAGAGAGGGGAAGGGAGAGGGAGAGAGAATAATTGATTGGCTGCCTTCTGCACGCCCCCACTGGGGATTGAACCTACCACCCGACTATGTGCCCTTGATCGGAATCGAACCTGGGGCCCTTCAGTCCGCAGGCCAAGGCTCATCCACTGAGCCAAACCGGCCAGGGCTATGGGAGGTTTTAACCAGACCCAGCACCTATCTCGATTTTCATAACCCAACACTTTTTAATAGAGTTTTCCTAAAGTGTTCAGTGTGAGCGGCCTTGAGCTGAGCCACGCTGTCCCGATCTCCTAGGGACTTGGCTGCCCCTGCAGGACTCAGCACAGCGTCTTGCAGGTCCTTGTTCAGGGCCCATTGGGCAGTCAGAGCAAGCGCACCCCAGGGGTGACAGACGAGGGCGTCCTCAGAGCCCCTGGGTTCCCCAGCCCCATGCACACCTGTGGGAGAGCGGGCACCCAGGAGGGCAGGCAGCCCTGCACGGCGCTGGGACCCAGGCTGCTTGTCCGCAGGGACTGGTCTGGCCTAAGGTTCCTGCTGCTGCTCCTGCCCAGCCGCGGGCTTGACCGGAGCCCAGGCCTCTGGGTTTGTGAGGATCTAATTTTGAGAAACTTAGAATCGACCCCGAGAGGGATGTCAAGAAGCTGACAGATTTACCTTCCTCTATTTCCTTCTAAAAGCAGTCCTTGATGCTGTTCTAGTGAACAGCTTTCAATATCAGGAAGACAGCATTTGGTTTTGCCAGTGAGTCTCTGAAATGCATGACAAGCCCGTCCCCTTGAACACGCCGGCCTTTAAGAGCAGCCGGAACTCTGACCATGGCCTTGACTGGTGTGTCCCTGCAGGCGGTCCTCGTGCATCTCCTGGGAGGTGGTGGAAGCCGCGTGCGCCTGTCTGCTGGCTCAGGGCGAGGAGGCGGAGAAGGGCCGCTGCTCAGAGGGCCTGGCCCAGCAGATGGTCCTGGAGGAGTTCGGGAGGTGCCTGTCCCAGATTCTCTACATCGAGTTTAAGTCCAAAGGGTTGAAGATGGAGTAGAGGAGAAATCTGAAGGCTGTTATGCAGAGAAGCCCCCAGAGGAGACTCCCAAGGGGATGAGGTCAATAGGGTGACTCTTCCCTCTCCCGCCCCGTGGGAGAGGAGAAGGTGGGAGGAGAGAGGAGCCGCGGGTCTGCACTCGGGGTTCCGGGGACCCATGGAGGAGAGGCTGCTTTAAGGAACACGAGGCCGGTCTGTGTCCACAGCTGCACCATCGAGGTGGGCGCTCCCTCTGCACCAGGGGACCCAGGGGGCTTAGTCTGGGAGGGTTTGGCATCCACAGCCCCTGTTTGAGGAGGGGCGTGACTGACGACATGGCGGGGCCAGGAGGGAGCGTGGGCTCCCGTGAGCCTGGGACCTCTGCATCCATACCCAGTGCTGGTGGGTGGACACGGGGCAGGAGAGGGAAGAGTCACCCTATTGACCTCATCCCCTTGGGGAGTCTCCTCTGGGGGCTTCTCTGCATAACAGCCTTCAGATTTCCCCGATTCTTAGAAATAACGTCTCCGCTGGGCTGCTGAGATGCAACCTGAGATCTCTAGAGAGACCTGAACACCCCAGGAATCAAGGGCGGGCGTGTCCCAGGGCCCAGGGCTTACCAGCCCGGCTGACACCCGGACACCGAGAGGCAACGGGCGCACAGGCCGCGCTTTCATCGTAGCGTCTTGAATTGCGGGACGGAAATGTATCTAGTTTCTTAGGTCTTTCTATTTGATTGTGGAAAAGCTCTAGTGTCCAGTAACTTCTCCGTGATTACTGTGAAGCTATTGTTGTTGGTAGAGTATGGTTAAACTGACGGGTTTGCAGAAAGTAGCAGGTAATATTAGCTGTTAAGTTGACTCCTTTGGTTCTATTGTAAAAGCAAAGAATAAAAATTTCAGCTGTTTCCTGTGGCTGTAATTAGCTTGGTGACTGAAAATACACTCGTCATGTTTCTGTGTGTGGATGGTACTGGCCCCACAGACAACCTTCGGAAGCGGGCAGTGTGGCTGGGGCAGCCGTGGGCACACTACGGCCCATGGGCCGGATGCGGCCCGTTTCAAATGAATAAAACTAAAAAAAAAAAAGACCGTACCCTTTTATGTAATGATGTTTACTTTGAATTTATATTAGTTCACACAAACACTCCATCCATGCTTTTGTTCCGGCCTCCGGTCCAGTTTAAGAACCCATTGTGGCCCTCGCGTCAAAAAGTTTGCCCACCCCTGGGCTGGGGCCTCTGGCACATTGGGGAGCAGGAGCTGGAGCCGGCCAGCACAGCGATATTTGGAACAGCCTCCTGACACTTCATTTCTCTGTTTCAACCCCCTTGTCTCCCACCCGGATCCAGTCTCTGAGGCGAAAGCCCGAGGTAGAGGCAGAGCTGTGAGTTCTCGGGAGCAGAGCTGGGGCAGAGCAGGGGCACTGCGGCCAAGGGTCACCTACCACCCCCCGCCCCCCGCACCCTCAGGCGGAAGGGGGCCGCGATGGGGCTCTGTGACTCCTCCTGGGACGGCCTTCCTTCTCAGCAGGGCAACTGGCAGTACCTGCCGGCCACACAGGTAGTTTTAAAATTTCTAGTCACCACATTTTTAAAAAGTGAAAAGGAACAGGTGAAATTCGATTTAATAATCTTTTTTTAAAACATATTTTTATTGATTTCAAAGAGAAAGGGAGAGGAGAGATAGAAACATAAATGATGAGAGAGAATCATAGATCCGCTGCCTCCTTCACGCCCCACACTGGGGATCGAGCCTGCAACCCTGGCATGTGACCTGACCGGGAATCGAACAGTGACCTCCTGGTTCATAGGTCAATGCTCAACCACTGAGCCACACCAGCCAGGCCAATTTAATGATTTTATTTAACCAACATATCCAAAACACTATCATTCCTATATGAAACCAAAATAAAAGTGGTTGCTCCGTTTCACCTTCTTCGTGCACCAATCCTAACATCCAGTGAGTGTTTCGCACTCACCACCATCTTAGTCCACATCAGGCCCAGGGCAAGTGCCGGGAGTCTGAGGGTCAGGTGTGGAGGGGAGGGAACAGGTCCCCCAGCCCATTCTGACCTGCAGAGCCCAGAGGCGGCCAGGATCCAGCACAGCAGGGGAGCCCACCTGCACCCTGGGGTGGGGACCCAGTGCTGCAGCCAGGTGTGCTGAGCTGAAGCCTAAAAGCCAGGGACAGGCCACTGGAAGGCGTGACCCCTGTGAGTTGCTCAAGGGGGAGGGTTATCAAGTCAGCACAGCTTTTAGGAAAGTCAGTGTGAGAAGTAACAGCCAAGTGCAGGTGCATATAGTCATGTGATGCAGCCAAAGACCTGCTCCCAAAGCCAAAAGGCCCCGCATCGTCATGTGACCTAAGAGAATGCTCTCCCCCATCCCCACCCCCTCACCGAATTCCTCTGGGTCTTCAGGTGTGACTGCCTCCCCCTCGGGATGCACCATCACCGCTGGTCCTCAGAGCTTCTGCCAGGTGCTGGCTTTCCCGCACCCGGACAGGGCACACATCTCCTCAGCTATGAAGCACTTGAAGTTTTCAGGACAATCACCTTTCTACCTGGACCACACAAAGTTTAATTCCCTGCCCTGTGGGTCCCCAGCTCACTCCTGGCCCCACCCCCTGCTGGCCCCAGGTCGGCAGGGGCGTCTGTTTTGTTTCTGCCTCAGTAACACTCACCCTCATAATTCTCTTAGGTCACGCCTTTGTTCCCGATGTGCACTGATCTAATGCACGTGATTACAATCCAGCCGTATCTTTTTTATCTTTTTAAATCCTCACCGAGGATATGTTTTTTATTGATTTTTTTTTTAGAGACAGGAAGGGAGAGAGAGAAACATTGATTGGTTGCCTCCCGTAGGCACCCTGACCAGGGACTGAACCTGAAACCTGGGTATGTGCCCTGACGGGGACTTGAACCCGCCACCTTTTGGTGTACAGGACGACACTCCAACCACTGGGCCACCTGGCCAGGGCTCCAGCTTGTCGTAAAGCACTCTGGTGGTGGTGACAGGCAGGCACAGAAGGAAGACACGGAAACACTTGCTGGTTTTTATTTTGCCATGAGAATAATTACCAAAGGGGAAATCTTAAATGATAACAACACAGCTTCAAAGGAGAGGAGGGGCCGGCTGACTCGGGGAGTTGGCACAAGCTGACCCATCGTCTCAGAATCTGACTTCCTGGGACGGGAGGGCCTTGCCCGGCTCCCTCAGGGCTGACTGCTCTGTGTCTTCCCAGGACGCCGCCGAGGGGAGCATGGGCACCAGGGCCCCGGCCTCTGCAAAGAGACGGACTCTGGGTGATGAGCCCCTGCTGTCCGCACGGAGGACATCACAGCCCCAGCTCACCTCACAGGGTCCAGACAGAACAGAATCAGCCTGGACTCTCAAACTCACACGAAATCGTGACGTGTGAAACGACAACCAGCTGTGTCTCCTGAGCATCACAGCGTCCATCTCCCCGGCCCCCGCCCCCACCTGCACGGCTAACTCTCAGAGCGCAGGCCTCCCCCGGGCGGCTTGACCTGTGAGCTTATCTGGCAAAGGCCAGACCCTCACTGTTGAATGAATGACAAGCATGAAGCACAGACGGCAAAGCCAGGGTTGAAAGGGGCAGCACCTGCAGGAGGTCCAGAGCCGAGGGCCCTGCCTTTAAACGCAGCCCGCCCCAAACCCAAAGGAAAGCTGACGTCTGACGGATGGGCTCCTGTTCAGTTGCAGTGCTGACGGGACCTGGTCTCAGACGCCTGTGAGGAGCCGGGCGGTGGGGCACTGTGGCCGGACAGGGACAGTGGTTGTTGCCACATCAATAGTGCACAGAGAGAACGGAACCCTGAGGCTCTCTCTCTCTCTCTTTCTCCCTCTCTCTCTCTCTCAATCTCTCTCGGAACAGTAGGTCTGATGACCCTTTCCAGGGACGGTGTGGGGCCGGCAGCAAGCCCAGCCCTGCTTTAGCTAGTTCCAGTTCCCGGGCTGTAACGCCAACCAGCAGGCGTGGAGATCAGTCACTGCAGAAGTCTAGGGAACCCTTTCCGTTTTAAGTGCCAGGTTCTAGGAGGTGGAAATGTAAATCGGCCACATTTCACTAACCTTTGAGATGCAAGAAAGTCAGAAACTCCATTATCTTGTGCATAACATCATCGTTCCAGGGCAGCGGCCGGTCAGAGTCGCCTAGAAACCAAAAGGATTGACATTTACGACTTACACAGGTGCTCCGGGCACCCCGAGGTCATGAACCCCAGCATCTCTGTCACCCATCTCGGGGACCCCTCTCCTGGAGGCCCCAGGTCTAGAGGGCTCTCTGCTGTCCCTGCGCTGCCCAGCATCTTACTCCCAGTGTCGTTGCTTCTGTTGCTAGCAGTGGACCGATGTGGCCGGGCCCGGCTCGGACCACTGCCCTGTGCGCCCAGAGGTGGACAGTGAGGGCCTCGGAGCGCCGGGACCCGTCCCCTCACCTGCCCCCGCGCCGTCTTCAGGCTGCAGGTCCCGCTTGCCAGCAAGGCCGTGCTTGTCATGGGATGACCGGTGGTTGTCAACAGCATCTGTTTGCAGAGCAGAGCAGACGGCCCCTGAGTGTCGCTACTGTACCCTCCCCCGCCCAAAGGACCCGACTGCCACTGAGCCCAGTGTGGGAACCACAGGAGAGGGAGGGCAGCGTGGACCCGGGGCCCAGTTCGTCACCAGGTGCCGGGACTCCACAGGACCAGGGCCCAGAGCCCACAGGCCTGGCGCAGGAGGGGGCACAGGCTCCCGGGGGTGCTGGCAGGCGACTGGGGCTCGGGGCCTATGTTTCTGAAAACAAGGGAGGTACCGAAACATTTCTATTTTCCAAAGATCACTCTGGCAGCTGTGTGGGAGATGGACCGGAGCCAGGGGGAGAGGGGGGTGGGGCGGCGGGGAGAGAGACAGACAGACAGACAGACATGCTTGGGGTGGGGTAGGCTGGGTGGCTGTGTGTGCATTGGGTGGTGTGCTTCTTGAGAGCTCCCTTAGGAAACTATTGGAAGAAAGAATG